TAAGCAACGGTGGTGAACGACTGCAGTGAGGTGAGGTTTGGTGGTGACTGGTTCTCTGTATGTGTGTGTGTGTGTGTGTGTGTGTGTGAGAGAGAGAGAGAGAGAGAGAGAGAGAGAGAAGAGAAGAGAAGAGCCCTGTTTTCAAAAATGCTAAGAAGAACTGGCGCCAATCTTTTAATGTTCCCACTAAAATTTTATATACCTTTGCCGACCAAACTTGTTGTTTGTCGCCAAAGGTTAATTTATACCAACTAATTTATTTAGTAGCCAACATTTAACTAACAGCGACTAATATTTTAGTCGCCAAAAGTAACCACTTTGGCTACTAAAGGTATTTTGGTAACCGAAAAGAAATATTCACCGACTAAATTTTTCGTCACCAAAGATAAAAGTAAAATTTATGTTTTTTATTTAGTGACTAAATAATTTTAGGGTCTGGCTTTGGTCCAGTCTACCATCGTACTGGACCGTGCTGTTGGGCCCGTGGGGGCCCACCACGGGTCCCGTTTTGAAAATCTGAACCGTTCAATGTGTAGAACTCTTCGAATACTATATGCCTGTAAAAAATCACGTTGATCGGATATCGATAGCTATGTAATCAAATCAGTTTTTTGTCAACCGTTAATTTATTCGTAGTCCATTTTTTTATACAAAACTGATTTGATCGCATAGCTATCGATATCCGATCAACGTGATTTTTTAACAGACATATAGTACTCGAAAAGTTCTACACATTGAATGGTTCAGATTTTCAAAACGGGACCCGTGGTGGGCTCTCAAGGGCCCAACAGCACGGTCCAGTCCGATGGTGGACTAGACCAAAGCCAGACCCATAATTTTAGTAGGCAAAAATTACCTTACAGCGACTAAAAAAATTTTAGTCACCGAAAATGAATATTTGCCGACCAAAACTTTGGTTGCCAAAGTTTAATAGCAAACATTATGCTAGGTTTTTGGCGACTAAATTTATTTTAGTTGCCAAAAACTGGTATACCACGACTAACAAAAATTTAAGTAGCCTAAAACATGATCTAATGCCGACTAAAATAATTTTTAGTTGACTATTGTTCATATTTAGCGACTAATTTTTTTTTGTCACCAATAATAAAGATACAGTGACTAAAAAAAATTAGTAGCTAAAAATCATATTCAATGGCGACCAATATAATTTTTAATTGCTTATTCTACAACTTTTGGCGACTAAAAAAATTTTAATCGCCAAATTTAGTCACAAAAAATGTAAATTGTTGTAGTGCAAGTCTAAAACAATTCAAAGAAAATTATGAATAATTTTATGGGCTCCATCAGATGCACTAATTAAATTTAACTTGTAACGCAACCTGATAGTATTCATTAGTATGTATTAACTTCTCCATTTTATAAATATATATATATATATATATATTCTCCATAAAACAATGCGGTGGGCCGAGGGAAGGTTGCATACTGGTTATGCAAGTTCCTTTGCCATTTCAAAGGTGACTTCAGACTGTTAGATCCACTCAACCTAAAAGCTTGTCCACATAGCTAATGAATGCCGCATTAATTATGGGATTACTAAATAATTAGTTGAGATTTTACTTTCAATATCTACCCCACATACCAACAAACAAACAAAAAAATGATTATTTGACGCAGCGGAATACAAGGGGACTAGATATCGTTCTAGTAAACGAAAGGGGCTCTCGAATCCACGAGAAAAATATAACCTTGAATCCACAAGGAAGAGAAATATTATTGAATGAATGAATAAAAGTTGTATAAAAGTTGTCTTTGCCATGAGGCTTACATAGCTATTTATAATAAACTAAACCTAATACTTGTAGGAAAAATAATTCTAAAAGTACGATACTTAAATCATCACAAATTAGGAAACCTAAGAGAATAGGAAACTAAAATTCTAAACTATTTAAAATTCTAGTCAAAATCTAATTCTAACATAATAAAATTAAAAAACCTAATAATTCTAAAATATTTATACTAAATTACAAAAATTCTAATAATATATCAAAAATATTAAAACTTAAAAATATAATTTTTTTTAAAATCTTGTCCTGAAAATCTTGTCCTACATCAGACTCCTCTTCTTTGAAAGAACTCGTCCTCGAGTTCATACACTACAGGAAAAAAGGGTTACGGTGGCGTTTTTTTAACGACGTTTCTTTAAACGTCACTATTATTAACATTTAACGGCGTTTTATAAACGCCGCATATTCTTTTAACCAAAACGGCGCCGTTTTATAATAAGAGGCGTTGAAAAACGCCTCCGAATGCGGTGTACCGCACGCCCCTTCTCAATCCTTATTTTGTATCTGCCTCTCTCAACCCATACGCATACATCATTTTATTTGAAGCCCCCTCTCTCTCTCTCTCTCTCTCTCTCTCTTCTCACAACCTCCTCTAAGCTCCATCGAAGCAATTTCGAAGCTCCATCGAAGCTCTAGATCGAACCGATTTCGAAGCTCCGTTGAAGATTCAGTGATTCCAGCGAAGATTCAGATATTCGAAGCTCCATCGAAGGCAATTTCGAAGCTCCAGATCCAACCGATTTCGAAGCTCCGTTGAAGATTCAGTGATTTCCAACGAAGATTCAGATATTCGAAGCTCCAGATCCAACCGATTTCGAGCTCCGTTGAAGATTCAGTGATTTCCATCGAAGATTCAGATATTCGAAGCTCCATCGAAGCAATTTCGAAGCTCCATCGAAGCTCCAGATCGAACCGAATTCGAAGCTCCATCGAAGCTTACAGAGCGAGACCACTTCATCATTCTTGGCTGTGATGGCCTGTGGGGGGTATATCATCTGTCCACTATCTCTTTTGCCCTTCATTTTAAAACTATTATAAAGTTGATGTTGTTAACAACTGTCAGGTTTTTTGACCAAGTGATGCTATTCAATTCCGTTCACAAGCTGCATAAGGTCAGAATGCATCTTTAACTTCCCAACTTTTGCCCGTTTCATTAGGATTAATGTGGCGTTTATTCTTTTAATTGTAGTTGATATGTATATTCTCTTCCTGGTTACATAACAGTGAATTTGTCCATTCTCCTCCTAATTTTCATTTAAGTGAATATGCACGTAATTGTTGCCCCAACGGTATTCTAGAATAAGGGCCCTGGATGACTAAATTTTTTTTTATGCTTAGAATATCACTCTTTTTTTTTTTGTTAGTTAAAATTCAATGTAAATCAAATGGACTGATTCAATTACCAACCTGTTTTATTATCTGAGTAGTACACTTGTTTCCTTTCATTCTGACCAAATGCTTTAATACTGTGAGTGATATCAGGCCCTGTTTGTTGCAGCTTTCTTTGTGCTGAAAACTGATAATCAGAAAGTAGAAGTTAAAAGTATCCCTCCCACATACTTCTGAATAATCATATTTTTTTCAGCTTGTTGAAGCTATGTTTGTGTAGTATGCAAAAACTTTATCAAAACACTCTAAACAAAGTAACCTGTCAGTGTTTGTTACAGGCTCCCAAATGGACTCGGGATACATATATATTATATTGCTTCTGTAGGATTCTTAGACACCATTTAATGGCCAGGACATTTGACTTTCTGTCATGTCCTATTAATTTATTGGCCTACTCATTAATCAAGGTGTTTCACATCCCAAATTTTTTCTCACTTTCTATATTTCAATGTGATTTTATCATGGAAACTATCTTGATGATGCTATATTTGGTTACAGTATCCTGTGTATTTTGCTTTTTGAGGATGACGATATCAATGTTGTGTTAGCTGATGTCAAGAAGAATGATGTTACTGGTCCAGCCTGCTACTGCAACCACTGGAGGGTTAGTTGATTATAGTCAGCATGTTTTGAGTCATTTAAAACTAAGATCTTCTAGATGTTAACCTCAGAGCACTTTATGATTATTTTGATTCCCCAAATTTGGTTCTCTTGTGTCATATGTTACATAAGTCAGACAGATATTTAGTGTTTTCACTAGTAATGGCTGTAATGAAACAAATAACTGAGGAATTGGCTTTGTTCCATTAATAGTGGGGGCAACCAAAACCTTTATGGTGAGAGTATATCATTTTCCTGACATGATGTTCCATTTAAAGCAGGGGCAACACCTACTTTTATTGTAATATACCAATTTTAAGTGATTCTGATGCATGTCAAAGGTAGCCCATGATCATACGCGTTATTGTGAATGGCTTCATTCAAAATATGATTGGCAGCACTGAAAAGTGTTTGACTTGTGTAGCCTTTTCCTTCATAAATTACATCATTGTTGATTATATAAAAAATAAATATATGAAAACCTTGGAGGAATTTTTCTTCTAATTTATGGAGCAAAACCAGATATTTTTCCAAAAGAAATTGTGTGATAATAAATAATAGATAGTACTTGCTATTTATAGAAAATTTGTAATCTTTAATAAAATCTTTGCTTTTAGTCTTTTCTTTAAGTGGCCATTTAAGATGTGAGAACTACTGAGCAGAACAAAAGAATCTGAATTCTGAATCTTATGTATGATGTTGCATTGCTTATTGAAACTCCAGGAAAATAAATTCCATGGAAGCAAACTCAACTAGTTGTCTTTGTCTAATTACTCTTACCTTAACTTGACTTTTTTTTTCTTGAAACTGGCTTCTCTTCACACAACAGCACATCATGACTTTTAATTCCTGGTTTAAATTGTTGTCTTTGGGAAATCACATCTTTATTTGTTGGTCAATCTTCAATTGCTGATTAAATTTCTGAACATATTAAGAGACCTAAGCTTGAGGCAGGTATCTGTTATGACCCAGAAGATTTCTGAATCCACCATGATCAGACATATTCTGTCCTTTGTAGTTGCTGAAATCTTATCCATGATTCAAATTTATGCGAGATTGATTCGAATGAGATGATGGACTTGATCTCCAATCAAAAGATTTAGATCTACATGACCTGAAGCTGATCTTCTGAGGCAATCTTGAAATCTGAAGCGGTTGACTTTGTCCATAGATGTCCCAATTTCTTGCAGATAAAACTGGAAGTATCCATCCCTGAACTCCAGGTAACTTTTGTAACTATGATGTTTAGATATACTAGATTCATGTTACTTGTTGCCATTTTCCCACCTTTTATAAATTTTTAACATCTAATACCAATTTATTTTTTTTCCTTTTGCTGCACAGGTGTCTCGCTTTCTTCGCTATTGGTTCAAAGTTGACTTTTAATTTCCTGGCTCAGATGTAAATGTGAGATGATAAATAGGGTCTTTACTAATATTTAAAAATGTTTTGCTATTTATATAAGCAGGATTATCAGCTGGAGTCATAGCAAGAGTTGCTGGGGTGCTGTTATTGGCAGTTTGCATATATGTTGGAGTTTACAAGAAGAAGAAAGTGCAGGACAAAATATTGCTTTCTGCAAGATCTGAACATCAATCAATTCAAGCTGCAAGGGGTAGTACTGCTCCCTGTTTCTTTCTATTTCCCTTTTTGTCTATTTCTTTAAACATCTATGTTTGAAAGGGTTCTTCATGGATATTCTGCACTACAAATTTCCCTTTTAACCCATTTTACCTTCTTGGCTGAAGAATGAAATCCAATTTTGACAAATGGGAACCATATGCACATGGTTGTTACAATGTTAAACATCCTATGGTTACTTATTTAGCTTTCTTTTAACACAATAGAGGTTCCTTTCATTTAAAAAATAATAATAAGGATCGTGATGATATTTGATTAGGCGGAATACGGTTACTATGTTTTTAAGCAGATTCCTCAAAAAATAATTCTAGCTGTGTCTGTGCCCTCTTTCCAAGTACTGATTAGATCCATTGTTCCTTTAGTTCATTTTCTTGGCCTTTTGTAAGAAATTATTTAAGAGCCTCTCAGATTTTATTATGCACTTGAATACATTTCATGCTAGTAAGTAATACATGCATCTAATAGTTGTTAATTACTATAATTTGTTAGTTTAGTGATTTTTTCATATTACATACTTCGTTGTTTGTCTTCGCATTATCAGCTGCTTATGTGTCTTGGTCTCTTAGCTTGCCAAAGTCCTACATTATAAGCAATGTAAATTTTTGTCTGTCTGTAAATAGTTCCTGTTTGGAGTTAATATCAAACCATGCTTTGTCAATGAACCAGGTAGGACCTGCTCCTGCTCTAATTAAGGCTGAGGTGCCATGGTCAGCTCGAAGGGGAACCTTCTCTAATAAGGATCGTGTTTTGAAGACAGTGAAAGGGTAATTTATTCTGAAGATATTTGTATGATTTCCTGACACCTGTGCAATCAAGTGATTATCACTTGCTATATTGTATGGATCCTTTGAATGTTTAGTGTCTATGGTGGACACTAATAATATTCCTGCAATTTAGTTAATTTCACTCAGTCATGAACATTTTTTTTTTATATCAATTATTAAGGTTTTGAAATAGTTTATCTCTACTCTCTGTATTTGATATTATAATTTAATTCTGTCTCTGATTTAATTTAGTTAATATTGTTTCTGATTGCAAGAACAAATTGCTGGCTCTAGTAACTAATAATCTCATGAATGTCAGTTGACAGGCGTTTGCAGCTGAAGATTTTTTTTTCTTGTTTTTAAAGTTAGCATATATGTTGAATGTCATTTCATATCAATTATGCATGACTTCTGTCTTCGATTGCTATTTAGGATACTGAATAAGCTGACTCCAAAGAAATAAAATTAGCACAATTTCAAAAAAAAAAAAAAGTTTCTGCCAATTAAGCTGACTTCTGTCTTCGATTGCTATTTGTGATGATAAGTTTCTGCAGTTGTTGTCTCTCCCTAGAAATAATAGCAAGCTCAGGCTCATTTGTTGAAGAGGCTAATGCTGCTGATTAATACAGCGCAGACAGCGTTCTGAGTTTCAGTGTAAGTACTCCAAACTGTTGGTGTCATTTTTGTTTCTGTTCTTTGTTTTCATTTTTTCAAAAACACAGAAAACTTGTTAGGTAAAGTGTTTCCAGAAAAAAAGTTCTGAAAGCAACCCAGTTTTAGGAAAACACCAATAGTTGTTTTCAAATTTTAGAAAAATTTTTGGAAAGTGATGGATGACTTTTGAACTTTTCATTGCTTTTGTTTCTGAAAACATGAAAATGAAAATGATACCAAATAGTTATGTACATTTAACATTGACGGTGTCTATTGAATTAACATATTTTCTTTTACAGCAAGTGTGAAGGGGACCCTTTTTACAGCTATAAAGGTAAATCCCGCATCATGCTTAATGAAATTGATCTTAATGTAATGCATATTTAGACCTGATTTTGCAGATTTAAAACCTATAATGCTTCATTGATTCTTGATGTGCCGATTTCAGGCAAACCAGATCTTGTTCCATCCTTAATTGACTTTGGCGATGAATGATGCTATGACTTATGTAAGGTCAGAAAGAGTTTTACTTGTTGACAGTTTGAGATGAAAGTAGAAATTATTATTATTCCTAAACATTACATATCAAAAAGCTCATATGATTCTAATTGAGTTTTGCAGGCCACAAAATCTGGTGGCCCAAATGGATCTGTACATTTCAGGTACTTCTCTATCTCTGA